TGCCTCTCTGCCCTGCTCCCTCCCTCCCGCTCCTCCCTGCCCCACTCCGCGGGCGCTTCCGCCACCTCCTCCTCCTCCTCCTCCTCCTCCTCCTCCTCCTCCTCCTCCTCCTCCCTCTTCTCTTACGGTTTTCCAAACATCCTGTGGTGTTGGGTCCTCGTTTTGAAGAGACGGTCCCCGCGTTTCTTCCTTCCGTCCTTCCTTCCTGTCCTTCCTTCCTCCACCCCCTCCTCCCTCCTCCCATCCCTTGCCTCTGCACTCCGCATGTCTTCGTCGTCGTCTCCCCCCACCCAGCACGGCGCTTCGTGGCCCCATGGGGAGCTCCATCTAAGGCCCCCGTGGCGGTGTCCACATGCCTCCCTCCCGCTCCTCCCTGTCCCACTCCGCGGGCGCTTTCGCTACTCCCCCGCCTCCCTCCTCCTCCTCCTCCTCCTTCTCCTCCTCCTCCTTCTCCTCCTCCTCCTCCTCCTCCACCTCCTGCTGCTGCTCCTCCTCCTCCTCCTCCTCCTTCTCCTCCTCTCTCTTCTCTTACGTTTTTCCAAATATCCTGTGGTGTTGGGTCCTCGTTTTGAAGAGGCGGTCCCCGCGTTCCTTCCTTCCTTCCTTCCTTCCTTTCCTTCCTTCATCCTCCCTCTCCTCCCTCCTCCCATCCCTTGCCTCTGCACTCCGCATGTCTTCGTCGTCGTATCCCACCCAGCACGGCGCGTCGTGGCCCCATTCGCGGTGTCCACATGCGTCTCCCCCACCCAGCACCGCGTTTCGTGGCCCCATGGGGAGCTCCATCTAAGGCCCCAGTGGCGGTGTCCACGTGCGTCTCCCCCACCCAGCACGGCGCGTCGTGGCCCCATAGGGAGCTCCACCTAAGGCCCCGGTGGCGGTGTCCACATGCGTCTCCCCCACCCAGCACGGCGCTTCGTCGCCCCATAGGGAGCTCCACCTAAGGCCCCAGTGGCGGTGTCCACATGCGTCTCCCCCACCCAGCACGGCGCGTCGTGGCCCCATAGGGAGCTCCACCTAAGGCCCCAGTGGCGGCGTGCACATGCATCTCCCCCACCCAGCACAGCGTTTCGTGGCCCCAGAGGGAATTCCACCTAAGGCTTCAGTGGCGGTGTCCACATGCGTCTTCCCCACCCAGCACAGCGTTTCGTGGCCTCACAGGGAGCTTCACCTAAGGCCCCAGTGGCGGTGTCCACATGCGTCTCCCCCACCCAGCACCGCGATTCGTGGCCCCATCGGTAGCTCCACCTAAGGCCCCAGTGGCGGTGTCCACATGCGTCCCCCTCACCTGGCACGGCGTTTCGTGGCCCCATGGGAGCTCCATCTGAGGCCCCAGTGGCGGTGTCCACGTGCGTCTCCCCCACCCAGCACAGCGCTTCGTGGCCCCATAGGGAGCTCCACTGAATGCCCCATTCGCGGTGTCCACATGCGTCTCCCCCACCCAGCACAGCGTTTCGTTTCGTGGCCCCCTTGGGAGCTCCACCTAAGGCCCCAATGGCGGTGTCCACATGCGCCTCCCCTACCCAGCACGGCGCGTCGTGGCCCCATAGGGAGCTCCACCTAAGGCCCCAGTGGCGGTGTCCACACGTGTCCCCCACCCAGCACAGCGGTTCGCTTCGTGGCCCCATGGGGATCTCCACCTAAGGCCCCAGTGGCGGTGTCCACATGCGTCTCCCCCACCCAGCACAGCGCTTCGTGGCCACATAGCGAGCTCCACCTAAGGCTCCAGTTGCGGTGTCCACAATCGCCTCCCCCACCCAGCACAACGTTTCGTGGCCCCATGGTTAGCTCCACCTAAGGCCCCAACGGCGGTGTCCACATGCGTCCCCGCACCCAGCACGGCGCGTCGTGGCCCCATGGGGAATTCCACCTAAGGCCCCAGTGGCGGTGTCCATGTGCGTCTCCCCACACAGTACAGAATTTCGTGGCCCCATAGGGATCCCCACCGAAGGCCCCAGTGGAGGTGTCCACATGCGTCTCTCCACCCAGCACCGAAGGCCCCAGTGGCGGTGTCCACATGCGTCTCCCCCACCGAGCACAGCGTTTCGTGGCCCATCGGGAACTCCACTGAAGGCCCCAGTGGCAAAGTTCGCATGCGTCCCCCCCGTCCAGTATAGCATTTCGTGGCCCATCGTAGACGATACCGAAGACGATACCCACAACGGCGGTACTCACAACTGCATATGGTTTGGCCCTTCGCCAGGCTAATTGTTGTTTTCCAATTTGCACTTCATGATGCCGTTATCGATATTACAATGCTTATGATCCTCTTCTTCTTTTTCCTCCTCCAACTCCCTCCCTCTCCCTCATCCCTTTCCTCCCTCCCGTCGTCCTCGTCCTCATCTTCTCCCCCAGGACAGGGGGGGCGGACTTCCAGGGCCTCCTGTGTGTGTTGTTGCTCACCATCTGCACCTCCTCATACCTCCGGCCGCGCTTCGGGAGCATGATCAACCCAAAGGACAGGGGGAGGAAGGGGATGAGCCTGAGGAAGCCGACGGCGACG